AGATTGGAGCAACAGCACACCCTACAGGCAAAAAGCATGAGCAAAGAAGATGGGAAAGTAGGTCAGGAGGGAGGGATGTGAAGGGTGTTTTACTGGTGGGTGGAGGTGAAAGATGATGAATGCAAAGAAGATGGTGGGAACAAGGGAAAAGGGAGGAATACAGAATAACTTTAGATTTCCTACATTGGAAAACTCTCCCCTAACACTGTTTTTGCCATCTGGGAAGAAGAAATGCAGTCTGCCTCAAGTAATTATTTTCATGTCTTTCTTTGTCTGAATTGTGTTTGTTTATATGCCATAGAGTGAACTATGCTCTAAGGAGAGTATATTTTACCTTGATAAGGACGTTGGCACAGGAAGCACTCCACCTGAAATAAAAATATCTGCAGAGACATAAAATGTCTCTGCAGATATCAAGCTAATTGTTTAATTCTGGAATTATTGTTTGTGGCCTATTCTTTCACATTATACTCTCAGAACCTGCTTAAAAGCCCCATTTTAAATGGTCATGTTCAAGAACTAGTTATGAAATGTTCAAATTATTCAGTTTTGAAGTTATTTGTTGGAAATTGAACTATTTGGAAATAAAACTGGTCTGGTAGGGTTTTTAGTTGAACTAGTTTACACTGCAGGGTCTTTCAGTAGGCTCACACCATCAAGTCTTTGCATCTTTATGCATCCTACTGCAATATATTAATTTAAGCCTTGATTAAATTGTTGCACGTATAAAAGTGCATACAAATCAGGGTATTTAAGGTTGATTAAAGCACTTCTTTCAAGTTATCAGCAGATGGCACCAATCCCTTGTGATTAAATTGTTTAAAGAAATGTTAACATATTTCTTCACACTTAAGCAGTAATTGTGAATGCTTCACATTAATATGACAGTAGTAGTTCATCATATTTTTGTATTTTACTTTGTGTACAAATTTCTGCAAACTACATCTTGAGAGTTTTATTAAACACTAATTTTAATCTCAGAAACATTAGTTCATTGCCATATAAAAGCTTTTATTTCAACAGGTGTAACATATGTTGCCAAGTATTCATTTCTTAAACCACTGTTCACACATTGATTTGTAATCTAAGTTTTGTTTGTCTATGGAAAGACATTAAATTGCACTTGACAAAAATAATTGTTTCACTTAGGAAAATATAATACAATGTTATGACATTCTGCTATTTGATTGCAATTCTTAATCTGTTCGATTGAAATAACTTCTTGAGACAATTATTGTAGTTATGCGTACATTTGTAGAAATTGCATGTTACCTTCCTGCACTGGTAGGATACTAAGGGCGATGCTTGCATGTATCCCTTTGCATCTATGTGAAATCTTGATCTGAGCTTTATTTCTACCCAAAACATTTTCATTTTTATTTCTAAGCCAATTCATGATGGATTTCATTGGTATGTGTTGTGTGATTATCTGGTTAACTTTTTCTATCTCATCATATTGCTTACTCTCACATTGAATGCCAGGACCACACTCAACTAAATATCTTAGGTTTAAAGGCCAAACCTCTGCAAAATGCTGAGTAAAGGTGTCATAATCATGCAGACCTGATGTAATATGCCTGTGTAATGTTGTATTAGGTGATAATAAACATGAAGGAGTGCTAATTTATTCCTTTCTAAAAACTGCATTCTTATTTAGATTTTACAAAAGTTTATAAAGTAATTTTCATTGGTTTATTTGTTCACATTGACTAAATGTAAGTGGTCTGGTAAATGTGTCCAAGACTACTTTAAATGCTGATTCCAGATATCTAAACGTAGTAATCCATAACCTTTTCTACAACATTACCAAGACCAGCCCACATGTACTTTTGTTCTATTTAAATAAGTTGAGGTAAAGTAAACTACAAAACAGAAGAAACAAGTATACTTACTCTTATAAAAAAGGAGCAAAGCTATTCATAGTTATTGCTTCAAAGGACCGACCTTCACTCTCTGACAAGTTCGAACTCCTAGCCTGCTGTCCCACATTGCTATTCTCCACAGGTTGTGTGAAAGTCCTTCGCAGTGGACAATCACTTGTTGTATACAGGTGCTGCTGAGAACTGCCGCATACAGGTTTGTCTTCTTCACTTCTTTGTCTTTTATCAATACATATCCTGTTTTTCTTCTTATGATTTTCAGTGAATTAGTTCTTCGCTTGTTCTTCTCCCATTTCTGACCCCAGAGAGAGCAGAGCATCCACAGAGGAAGCAGTAAATGGCTGATCAGCTGGTTACCGGTTTGCTTCGTATTATTGCAGGTACAGTAAGTTAAGCAGCAGTGCTGTGTCTCCTTAGCATGAAGCAAATGGATCGCTAATTTATAGCTTCATGTTAATGTGCAGTTCATTTTGTCAGGTCATTAAGCATGTGAGGCCTGGAGTGGGACCGACTTTTAGCTGTCTTTGCATACAGCTTTTGTCTTTTTAGCTAAAATGTTATATTTTTGTGCATGAGGAATAATAGCATGACTTGTAATGTAAAAGAAAATGGTGTGATTTGAAATTGTTTGGTTTGAAATGAGGCCATCGACTCAATAATGTAGGACTCTTCATTTTATTACATTGTTCTTTAATGATAACATATGTATTTCTTTGACTCAAAATATTCTCAAATTTTTCAGATAAATTCAAGACAGTAATTTCTTAAATTAAATCTGTTTTTCCTTCAATCTATTCAGCTGAGATTTTTCCAATTGAATGCTGTTGTGGTATTGTATAAATGTAATTTGTTGGTAAGGGAAATTAGTCATTAATTTGTGCATTAATTACAGTTTTCCTCTTCCTGTGTTGTCTTTATTATGTTGAAAGACCCACATCAGTAGACATGCTGACTACACCAAGACTACACTGGAAAAATTGGCCACTAGTTGACAAAAAAAAGTACTATAATAGCACTGGCTGATCCAAACCAGTTTATTTTTATTTTGTACCAAAGGATCACGTATGTGTAATGTTATTGTATAATGAACAAAGAAAATATATTAGAATATGCAATATAAAATGCATCAGACTCGGATCTGGTGGTATTCTGTGGCATGTTACCACAGAATACCAGCAGGTGGCAGGAATTGTTGAGTTTTTTTTTTTGTTTTTTTGCTGCAAACCACTTAAAATTAGCTTAGCTCTGAAGAGTTGCATTTATCTCAGGATGTGCACGGACATCTCTTTTTCTGGTTGGTCTGTCATTGGTGTTTTTAAACCCAGAGAAATGCTGAATTGGAGGCATGGTTTGCCCATTTTATAAAATCTTTTTATCCACATTTAGGGATCAGTAAATGTTTTTTTTTGTTGTTGTTGTAAATAACCTTTCACCTTGATGTCACCCATATTTCTGAATTATTTTGGCAGAAGCCATTGGTATTTTTACAATGCCTTGTTTTTTTGTAAACCTCTTCAATATATCCTTTGCAGCAAAGGATATGCATATCCTGGTATAATAATCTTTAATAAAAGCTATGGTTGCACAGTATTAGCTAAACATTGCCAGTCTACTTATTCTCCAGATCATACATTCCATATACGCCTCCCCTCACCCACAGCTTAAGATATTTGGAAAAATTAAGAATTAAATTCTAGTCCTGTCACATGTATGCTCATTAGATTAAAGTCAGTGTTAGCTTCATTATGAAGTCATTTAAAATATTTTTTAGACAGATGCCACCAGTGGTGACAGAACAAATTGCAAATGTTTTTGTAGTTAGTTCTTTTTTCTCACCATAAGTGGGTTTGCATGCAGACAAGTTGTGCAAACACAACACAAGTTTTCAGTGTTGCAAACTATATCTCTATTTACTCAGAGATCACGACTGAAAAAAACAGAAAATGTTATGGAAAATGTAAAGAAATTCTAGATAAAAGTGTTACCATTTAGTTTAATACCATTTACTGATATTATTATTGACATGTTTTTTGATGTGTCAATAGTAAACTTTTATTATTAATAATAAAATAAACTTATTGTAATTTCTTGCAATGTTTGAATTTAAAACTAGTACACTTAGTAGTAGGTGTACTAGTATTTTTAAAGGAAAAAAAACACAATCAGGACAAAACGTAATTGTTTTTATGAAAAGTAGATGTTATAAAAAAAAAAAATATATATATATATATATATATATATATATATATATATATATATATATATATATATATATATATTGTAAAGCATTACAACCGCTGCTGTCACCACTACATATTGTGCATGTCTGTATGTACTCATTCACATGCCTCATTTTACCCTGTCATAGACAGTTAATGAGTACTTACACAAACACGAGCACACACCCCTTTCCGGGGGCTGGGCTGCTGTCAGTCCTTTGTGCTTGTTGGTTGCAGCTGTAGCCTGCGTTGCCTTGACGTCACACAGATCGATCCTGCTCCCAGTGCGGCTTGGTGAGCATGGTGACAGTAAAAAAGGCTGCAGAGTGAAGCAGACTGTCAGAGCAGGGCGGAGGTTTGAGTGAATCGAAGGGAGGAGGAAAGAGAGAGGGCAGAGTGAACCACAGAGGTATTCCATGCAGGGCAGGACAGGCACAATCTGTTACTAAAGAAAAAGTCACTACACAGGACAGTGTTGGGTAAATATTTTTCTGCAGTAATGAGTGCACGACTGTTCTCAAAATGGGTAGTCACTTTCATATTATCCTGTGTGTGACTAAATAATGCCATTCTTTGCATTGTACAGTTGACTCACTGCACTGACATAAGGTAGGGTGGTGAGGAGGGGTGCTTATGTGTTTGTTTACCACATTTGCCTTTTGTTGGTTTTAATTGTACGAGCCTTTTGGCTTTTCACTTATTCTTTGTGCTTTTGTAAATGTGTGCTTATGCAGTGTATGCTGATAGTTATTTGTCGGGGAACTGAGTTGGTAATGCAGCGTCCCTTTTGAGCTGTGGTGTCAGGAGATTCTAGCTGTAAGCCATGTGACTTTGCAGAGAGCTGCAGAGATTGGCTGAGGTCATCTGTGACCTCAGCACACTGCCAGTGTCCCTCCTCAACGCTGCCGCCCCTCATTACAAACACACACACACACACAAAATCCTCCCTCCCTCCCAGTCTGTTCTCCGCCTCCCCTCCCTGCCTCTTTTTCCTTCAGTTGGCTTTTTCCCCACCGCTCAGCATCCTCTTCTGCGTGTAGGCTGGAGCCACAGAAGCAGCAGTAGCAGTAGAAGCATCCATGGCTTAATGGAAAGCTAGCCTAGCCCCTACCCCTCCTCTCTTTTTCCTCCTTTCTTCCTGTCGAGCGAGTTGACAGGCAGCGTCTGGGATTGTTGGAGGCTCACAGTTAGCCAGGGCGTTATCCACGAGCTTGCAGCTGCTCTGCTGCCCATCAGTTCCACTGAATATTTGTAACCGGGGGCTTCTTCTCCTCTCCTCCTCCCCGTGCCTCCTGGTTTCATTTCAGGCTCTTTGGAAATAGAGGAATGCAAATCTGCAACCATGATGGAAGGTAAGCTGTTTTAATTCTAATTTTTTATTGTGCTATTGACTCCCCATCCCACCACCACCCATTCATATATATATGTGTGTATATATATGTGTGTGTATGTATATATATATATGTGTGTGTGTGTATATATATATGTATATAGGGTAATCCTTCTTTATGCCCTTGTCCTACTGTGCCTCATCTGCTATGTTTGGGAGGTTCAAATGTCATCAGCCACTCTTATTTTAAGTACACATTTCAGTGACTTTCATGTTATTCTTAGAAAAGGACACAGCCACTGAATGTTCACAATATAGGCACAGTGTCGAGGCTAATTGAAGCTTTTACCTTAGCGAGTGTGTCCACATATGTTGGAATACCCCCCTACTCCTTTTTGCCACTTCCCATCATGGAGGATTATTTGGATTTGTTGTGCTGGACAGCTTATGTGCCCAGCTGGCTTACTTGTATAAATTCTCTTTGTATGATGTGCTCACCCTGTCTCTGCTATGTGTTCGTATCACTGGCATATTTAACCCGGTGTTCTTACGAGAAGGTTGCGTCTGTATCAGAATATACATGAATCTTAAGGTATAATTTGCCCTTCGCCTTTGCCATTGTTATAAGTAGGGATTTGAATGTAGTTTTAGAATCATATCTCTTTAATTGATGACATCACCAGAGGTAGGCCCGTGATATTAGGATGAATCCCTATGGTTCTGCAGCTGGCAAATGAAGCCTTCCATCCATCTGTTCTTTTTTGTTAATGAATTTGAGATTATGTGATCAATTTCTTTCAATATTCCCAGAACAAAATTCAGGTGTTAATATTATTTTATTATTTAAGCAACCTTAAAGTATCTAAAATTTAATGGAAAACATTTTGGCACAGAAAAATACATAAAAGTGTTAATCAAACCGCTTGTAAAAAGAGACATTGTTACTGGTGTTGACCATCTGTTTTAATGTTTCAACCCAGAGCCGTACTCTGCCGATTAGATGAATTTTATTAGCATGCAGTCTAGCTGCATGCATCTTTGTCTGTATATTTAGAAATTAGAGGATGCAACTGCTTCCTCCTCCTGTACTGTCTTGAAAGAAATCCTGAAAAATTTTCAGAATGAGATTTTTCATGGAGATTTTCAAAAGTTCCTAAGGTTGCATTTCATTTTCTACAAATTTACTTTTTGAGGTTATTTTTAATATTACATTTACACATGCATTTAGCCATGTTTATTTGGAAGTGCAGATAAACATGCACTTCCAAATAAGTGCAAGTGGTAATATATACCACCTGGTAACATATCTTTATCGTTTGTAAATAACAATTACTGCTATAGTATAGTCTCAAACTGTAAAGTTATAAAAATTCAAACTGATTAAAACAAATATTTTTAATAAATTCAACAGTGGCACAATTTTTGGTATCTTTAAGCATCCTGTAAATTCTATCTTTCTATATAGTGTAACTAAGAAGATGGTAATAGCAATAAAACAATTCTTTAAAGCTTACTGGTTAGTGAACTGCAGCAAAGAAATGCAATGACAATCAGAAGCTCTTTGCATCTAAACCAAAAAAGAACTGCGAATGGAAAAGCCTTTTCTTTTCCAATGGGATCTGTTTGGCAGGTGGTGAATCTGCGATGGTGTAGGCCTGTTTCTCCTGCAAAACCCTGGGAAAGTAGTTAGATTGCATGGTGCCATCGACTCTATTGGAAAAATGATTGAAAAGCCTGTTGAACGTTATAGTGGAATGCCAGACCAGATGTAGCCTTGATGGGGAGAGAAAGAAGAGAAAACATAAAGTTGGCAATCTACCTTCCATCATTCCCCACTTGTCCAACGACTGGGGGAAGCTGTTTTTAACAATGAGCTTTATCAACGAGGAGCATTTTAAGCCCAGACTTAAAAGTAGACAGGGCGTCTGCCTCATGGATTAAAACTTGGGAGCTGGTTCCACTGGAGAAGAGTCTGAGAACAAAAAGAGCTGCCTCCCAATATCTAGTTTTAGAAATTCTAGGAATGACCACTACACCTGCAATCTGAGAGTGAAGTGCTCTGTTAGGATCGTACAGAACAATCAGATTTCTGATCTATGATGGAGCTTGATTGTTAAGGTCTTTATATAAGAAGTAGAATCTTAAAATTTACTTACAAATTATGTTTACAATTGTGGTAGTTATAATTGTGCTACTGGTAACTTCATTAAAAACTGTTATTTTATAATGTAAATTTTTTCACATTAAATTCACAATAAGTTGAATGTCCTTTATAATACTGCAATTAATTATTTTTTCAGGCAGTGATCATTTGCTGGTTTTCAGTGGCATTAATACATTTGCTACATGATTAATGTGCAAGCAGAGGTTCAGTGACAGCACAATAGAGAGCAATTAAGGTTTTGAACTTGCTAGTCATGTACTATTTTCTCTTGATGACAGTTGTGTTTTAAAGGTTAAAAATGTTAAAAATTAAAGGTAAAAAATGTTTTTATTACCAAATACAGAGTTTGAAATATTTGAAATGTAATTTTTTTTTATAAAAATTAAGTTGATAATTAAGGACTTATTTCAAATACATATCATTCTAATTTGATCACCAAAGTGATCAATGACCTTATTTAATGTTTCTTCTCCTCTGGCAAGTGAACTGTCCTCTCACTGTCTGCATTACATCAAGCCCCAGGTTAAGTAACAAAAGTGATGGCAAAAAGCACTGTTTGCATTTACTTTCCTTCCATTACAAGCTTAACATAGAGTGTGTTAGGAAAGGATTACGTTCAGGTGTTAAAATTGGATGCTAATCCTGACTAGCTCTGCTTTTTAAAGCCCAGTGCCACTGCCAGCATGACTGTCTCTTCCTGACACACCAGGGTAGAAGATGTGGGAGGGTTATTTAATTGTAATTAAGAGCAGTAGAGGTGATCATCCTCATGCTAATAGTTGGGATTACCATCTCTTTTCCTAAAGACGTGATCTTGAGAAATGCAAGAAAGATATGGGGCACTTTTATCATAATAACAAGATAATGCAGCATTATTATCTCTGCAAATTATTTCTGACTGGATGGAGTTAAACGATTCGCAAAATCTGATGGAATCTTGACATATCACGGTTTTAGTGCTTGCACACTGTCAGATTAAGCAATACTGAAAACTGAGGCATGATGTTATTCTATCCTTTAATAGTGTCAATTTCAATGCGTATTTTTCTAATGTGTGGAGAAGTTGATCGAAATTAGCAATCTGAGTTTCTTGTACACAAGGAGGAGTTGTTTTAACTATTTCATTTTAAAGTCAGCTATTACTAAGGGTATTTCTTGCTGTTTATAGAGATAATTTATTTTTATTTTCATAGAAGTGCATCACAGTAAATCAGAATAATAGTTCAAAGTTGTGTATTTGAATGATTTAAATCAAAAAGTGAAATGCATATAAATTCGGTTTGTGGCTTTCTGGGACTTTGTGTTTATTGCTGAGAGCTAATTATTACCCATAACTAAATTTCTTGGAATATTAGATAAATGAATAACACCAAAGAAAAAACAGATAATACAGAAAAGTCTGCCAAATAAAATGAAAGCCTATGTACTATGTATGATATGCACTTAATGCTTAGTCCATGCTTCTTTAGCATAAATTACTGCATCAGGGCAGCATTGAGGTGATCTAATGTAGCACATCTAAGATGTTAAGAAAGCACAGATTGCTTCTAAGCAGTGTCCTGTTGCCTAAAATCATAAGTAATTGCCAAAGTCCCTTTAAAATTTGTTAGAGTTGCAGCTTTCCCTGAAGTGACACAATATGTTGCATTATAACAATCAGTTATATATATATCAGTTATATATATATAATAATATATATATATATATATATTATATATTATATATATATATATATATATATATTATATATATACAATATATATATATATATATATATATATATATATATATATTTATTTTTTTTGTGTGCCGAAAACTATATAACAATGGATTCCTTTTTACAATATTTCTGAATGAGACCTTAGTCAACACTGCTCATGAGCACTCACTCGGACGTCACAATGGAACTGCTAACAAACAAAAGCCCAGCCAAAAGAGGGTTCAGGGGAAAGAACGTTTTGTATCATAGTCAAAACATACCTTCTGGGGTTTACCGCAGGCCAGTTTGCTTATCAATCATGCACAGTGATATTGCAGTTAATAAATTGGGTATTAAGCTACTGGCTGTGCTGGCAGGTTCCAAGTCATTGCAAAATAAAATCATGTTGTCATCAGAGGGGAAAAAGAAATTATCTAAATGACCTGGGAGACAGCAGCAGAGACTTTGAAAACACATTACAGAAACATCACTGTAAATGTTGAACAACTTGAATTCTGTGCCACTTTGGTCTGGGCAACAACACAATAACTATATCTATTGCGATAGATACGTCATTAATATTAATAGAAAATACATCCAGTAGAGTGTTAATAATTCCACTAAACTGTGATCCAGAACCACACATTATGTAAGATTTAGGCAGAGGAAAAGTTTTAGCAACTCAACTTTTCACGACCAGCTAAGCAAGGTCGATGGCAGTAACTCACTCACTCTTTGGTAAAATAACAACCTGTTGAATAAGGCCCTGACATACTCAGCTGAACATGTCCACACAAAGGTCAGTTGTTACCACTGCATGCCCAGTGACGTGTGGTTCACACAGGAAACTGCTCAGCAGGAAACAGTGTTTGCATCACGATGAGTTTGGTCAACAGCACTAAGTAAACAATCTACTTTATTTATGCTTTTCCTTCTTGCAGCGAGTGCAATTTACTATCTCCTGGAAAGCTGCTTTTCGGTAGCCTTCCCTTTGATTTTGTAAGTTGTCCAAGAGATTGAAGTTGAGGTTTTCTTCACATCCATCACTCTGAACAGAAATTAACACTTGAGTACATCCCCAAAAGTGCCATAAAACTGTAGTCATTTTATAATAAAATGCTGATTTTTTTTTGTTTGTTTGTTTTCTTTTAGCTGGAAA